GGAAAACAACAGTGTAAATGAATATCATCGACAACAAAACATAATGAGAGTCAATTATTTATAAGCATTTTACATGCGATGTATTCACATGCAATCAGAGATAGAATTAGACTCGGATGTTGCAAAAAAGAAGAGATGTACAAACAAACGATTAGATCTCAATGTTTGTCTGCTCCTGGACGAGTTCAATGTCTAGGTTGAATTAGTTTCCGATGCAATGAGTAGCATTTGTTGTTTGTCACGCCGTTTTACTTTGACGAGCATGATATAATTGAAAATTCAATTTATATTCTCTTGTCAACTGTGAAGCATCTGTCGAGCAAAACAAGAAGGATCCCGTAATTTATAGGACGAGAGACTTTCTCTACTTGAGTATGTCAATAACTGACATTGAGAATCGATTTAGTTCGGCCTTGTCTTTTCTCAATATGTGAACACCTGGATTCAATATTTGGCTCTTGTTGAATTAGTTCGAATAAAAACAAAACTCTATGATTAAGTAAATACACCGGAATGTGTAGAGCGTTCGATACATTTTCTTCTTTCGTTCGGTCTACTATGTCACTTGTCAATGTAGAATAAAACTGATATGATAGAATGTACATATACATATGTTTGAAAGACAAGAGTGAATGACTGTCGATTATTAAATAACACCTGTGTATGTAAAAAATGAATACAAGTGACGAGAAACGAGAAAAAGAACAGAAACCTATCGAAAGAACATCTCATTTACTATTAAACGACTAAGAAGAAGAAGAGAAGGAGGAAGAGGAGAAGAAAAGGGTTCCCTTCATACTTTTCTGTCTCTTTCGTTTTTCTTTTCGTTGAGGTGTGAGCGTGTATCGTACTTCGCGATTAACATTGACAAAATATTCGCCTTCAACGCTTATTCATCTGCTATCATTATTCATTCATTCATCGTAAGTATCAGATCCTTAAGCCTTTGAAAGTTACCCAGATAAATCTTGTCTTTTGAACACTTTCAATTGTGTTCAAAAAACGACCTCTATATCTCTCGAAAATAAGTGTTGCATCCTGCGTTTTGTTTGCCTAACCATTCTGAACACAAGTCCGTTCAGTCGTTCTTTTTCGTCCTCTATTTGAACATATCAGTTTGTTCATTCGTCGCGTCACTTCAGGTCATCAGCAAAAGAAAACAGAAAGAGAAAGAGAAAAAATTTACTGTCCATGTTCTTTTTTCATCCCTTTGTGTGTATCATTAAATCATCATCATCGTCGTTGTCGTCGTCGTCAATGTTTATTACTAGNTTAACATATAAACTGTATATTAGACGAAAACTGTCACAGTAGAAGACACTTTGGTTTCAATGTTATTAGTTTCATTTGTCCTTGAAGGAGAGATGAATAGATAGTTCTAGTTAATAAGAGACGTATCAAAACAAGATAAGATAGACGTAAATAAATGAAAAATCGAGAGAAGTATAGTCGCATTTAAGATGAGTACCATGTTTGAAACTTACCACAAGTAATTAAACGAGTAAAAAATTCATCTGTTTTCAACAATCAAAATATGACATGCCTAAGAAGCGATCAATACACTATTTCTATACGTCTTCCTTCTAACAATGAGTGTACCTATCTACTCGTTTGTATACACATCCATTAACATAATCTCACTTGGAGATAGATACAAGATGAACACGCATATATCTCTTCACAAGTCACAATCATAACCGCCATATCGAAATCACAATCAATTTCCGATCGATTCTTCTTTTTCTCTTATGTTGCTTATTCATCTGTAGTAAAATATGACAAAAACGAAACTTCATTTTGATAGATTACTTGACTTTCTTTTTGCATTTTTATCTACATCATTATAAATATAGGCATTATATCACAATACCCAAAAAAGATAACACGACTGAACATTTTCCATATTATATATCATCTTGGCTCAATTGACGAAAGAAGAGAAAGATCTTACCTAATGTGAGTAATTCTCCTTAATTGAATACGTTTAAATGAGTATTACAGATGCCAATTGACGGACATGTGTGTATGTACATACGTACGTATATATGTGTATATGAGAACGTATGTCATATAGTCATTACCATTCATGAATGATAATAAGAAGAGAACGAGCAGGAGAACGAGAGGGAGAGAAAGGATACTTTTTTCATGGCGACTAGAGTTTTTTACAGTTTATTCGAACTGAGAGGAAAAGAAGAAAAAACGCACTAGTCCTTCTCGTTTTTGCTTGTCGCACAAGTTGCCCGATGGAACGGTACCAGTCGCTGTTCATCGAACAATCAGGACGACTTGCGAATAAGAGAAATCAAACGACCATCACTCTCACATTAGTCAGGTAATTGGAGCACAGTAATAGTATAATCAGAATTATACAACCGACATCCCAATGACCACGAAGGTCATCGATACCTAAATGCGAAAAATCAAATGACTTTGACTCTTTGTCATGTCACTGATAGTGTTGGCATACACGAAGATTTGATTAAAACAATGTCGACCAAAGAAGTAAAAGATGACTCTCATGTTATTAAACGAATTGCATAACAACGACAAAGACAATGAAAAAGAAGGAATGCAAATATCGGAAATTGAATCAAATTTGCTAGATAAGGAACGACGGACACAGAGAGAGAGAAAGAAGAAAAGTTTCTTTTCCTTTATCACATACGAGTGTATGAATAATTCCAATTGATAAGTATATTTATCTTCTTTTCGTTGAGAGCATAGAGTGATTACATTGAACTATTGATTTTTTCTCTCTCATCGTATGTAATCAAACAAAGTCTTATTGAATATTCTGTCAAAGGTATGTTCAACATAACATATGCTGTGAACTACTCAGAGACAAAAGAAAAATGTTCTAATTAGAGATGTTGTATACATGCAAGAACAATGTCCATTACAGTCAAGCAGATTGTCTGTACGGCTGACGCCTTTTCTTCTTTGATAGTTGAATAATCGATTAGAACCATTCTGTCTTTCTTCAGCTCTCCTTCCTACTTAACAATCACATTCAATTAGATTGTTTTACATGCTCGAACATCTTACTAAAGTAAATTATTATTATTATCATTGTCTAGTATAAAAAGAATTGCATATAAGAACAAGAAAGATGTAAGGCAGTCTGTGTTGATTGCTTGTGATAAAGTGAATCGAACATATAAATAATGTCGATTGAATCGAAGTGAATGAAGCCATAGGAACAATTGCTTGATGATAATCATCATCTCTATGAAAATAAATACAAGTAGAGTACGTACATACATTCTTCGATGAGATGAAAGTGCCCACAGAACATTGCCATCGTCATTAGGATAATTGATCGGAGATTTCTTTTATGTTAATGATATTCAATCGGGTACAATAAAACGTACCGTTGTTGAAATAGTTTTGTCCAAAGACTACACATTCGCATACGTGTCGAGACTCGAATTGAAACCTTCGATTGAGATTCGAGTTGTATTTACATATTTATAATATCAATAGTATTATTGATTTGGAAGGTTATGGGTTTATTCTCGGTTTTAAAACTGTTTGATAATCGAAAGCTTTGACATACATAAAAATAAATACGACTCAGACGTTATTTGATATTTTCATAGAAGATTTGACGAAATTAATTGATATTCATATTGAGCATTGTTTTAGCATGATGTAATCCTGTCAATGTGTCGGTTATTTGGTTAATGGAAAATGAATTTTGACTTTGATACAATAAACATGAAAAGAATTTTACTATATACATTCTATGCTGAGTTGAGGGTGAACTGATTGGTCCACTTTCCGTTCGTTCAAGATTGTTACCAGTGGAGAAAATATACAAATCTTGGTGAAAACAATTGCTGAATCTTCTTCTTTCTCAAATGTTATAGGACCTTATTTCAAGCGCATACTTTGTTGCATATGAGTCTATCGGATGTAAAGCTACAATAGTGAGACCCTTCGCTCATGAGTTGCTTGCTGGTATTCTGGAAGTAACCACTTTCGAAGAAATTTCGTTCGGTGTTGGTCGCTTTCGTCGACACCAGTAGAGTTTTTCTGCAAATCAAATAATATATAAAGGCATGAAACTGATATTAACTGTATAGGCATCTTTCGATGTCTTTTCCATGCTATTGGTTGATGTAACCTTTTCTTTTGCCATATAACTCGTAAAATGAGAAGAGCACTAAAGATGACAATGATCGAGGTAGGTATAACTTGTTGAACAATCAAATCCCATGATCCAAGGATGATTCGATTGAATAAACATGGAATGTAGATTTCTCTGTCGACGAATGAATCGAATGAATTTTTTGCACAGATTGGAATTAAATAAATAAAATTATAAAATATCAAACAGTACGAAGTTATTGCGATGATTGCAGTGTAATGTACAAATAAACGTTTTTGTTTGGTTACGACCCATTTATCATGGAATATCGGTCAGTTCATAGATGAGATCAATGACGAAGAGAACAATGATAATATGATTATGAACAGATTTGTGTATTGCTTTATCAAGAAGAAGGAAGCAAAGAGTGATTAAAGTGCATACGACGGACAGAGTATCAAGAACTAAATAAGACCAAAATTGAAATAATGATGAGATTGAATAACTTGATGATGTGTTTAACGAAGAATTATTTCATACTGAAAGAAATGATTTGTGTGTATTGAATAGGTTGGTTGGATTTGTTTAAATACTATTTCAACACGCTGTTTTGTATGATCTTAGTACTATTATTAGACCGATTTATAGTTTTCAATGAGCTTCGTATGTTAGATTCATTTGTTAGATTCTCTCAGCTTCGAAGCCAATAGGAAATTTTTATTTGAATCTTTAACAAACATAACAACAGCAAACGTTCTATTGTACTTGGAAAGTGCATATCACACCAGGAACATTTCCTTATAAAGAATCATGTAAATGATGATTTTTTAGATATATTATTAGCAGATTCTTAACCTCGTACTCAGTGAAAGTAAAAGCAGTTAAACATATCTGAACCATCTCACTGATGACTTTGTTCTTGGTATGTACGATGAGATATGAACAGACCATTGAACAATCGCTACTGCCCTCTAGAGAGGGTGACTACAGTTCGTTCATTGCTGCTGTTGTTCTCCTCTTTCTTTTATTTATTTTGAACTTCTTTCTGTTCTGTCAATCAAGATCAAAAATTCGTTCATGTGCTGATAGTGATAAACGCTCATAATGAATCTTAGTTCATATTTTTCGTTATTTGTATTTAGATAAGCAAATAAGAAGAAAAAGAATGAAGCGTGGTTTTATCATAGCCATCATTTGGGAAGTTCTCTCATTTGCAGCATTTGTTCTAAACTTAACTGCAAATAGTAGTGACCGTTGGTGGGTCAATGCAAAAGATGGTGGCGAAAAAACATTCATCAGAGCTGGTCTTTGGCAAGTTTGTTTCAATATGTATCGTCATCGTTTTGATTACTATGGGAAAATCTATCATGGATGTTGGTGGTGAGTAATCGAATGCAAAATGTTTTGTATTATTTTACGAAAGAAATGTTTCCAGGCTATTCTCACCTGAAATTCGTCTTCTACGTTCATGGATTACGAATAATTGGCTCCGTTGGGTGCAAACATTATCCACACTTTCTTTAATCACATCATTTTTCGCGGTTATTGCTTCCTTGCTCGTTCTACGTAATAGCGAAGCTTTTAAGTCATCCCGACAAGTGCTCACTGCTGCAATCTTACATGGTCTCGCAGGTGTCTTAATGTTAGCAACAGTCATTCTCTTCGGTGTCGATGGCAAACGACGTGACTGGATGATGAATTGGCAATTCAACTGGTTTGGCTGGAGCTTTCAAATTGCAATTGTCAGTTGCATTCTCCATCTGCTCACTGCAATGATGGCGGGTTATCAAGGTTCAAATAAGTAAGAGTAGAAGAATTTCATTTTCAAAAAAAAAAGAAAAATGACTTGTTTTCATAGATTTTTACACGACATGTACGACTACGAACGTGCTCATGAAGAATTAGAACATCGTTCAACACTGAAATATCCTCCATTACCACCGTATCACAGTCGTGCTTCATCCGAACGTGGACTATCGTCAAATGCTGGTAGTAAAACTCATCTTCATCAATATGCCTAAATGTCAAGCCTAATAAATACGAAGAATCTCTTGAATTTTCTGTACAGATCTGTTTTCTAGACATTCCAAGTGTTTTTACTTCGAAGTTTTTTCATCTTTTTCTTTTCTAAACACTTTATTTACTCATTTTGATTACTTTATTGTCTGATCTGTTCAATTAGATATTGTTTAAATCATTTTCACTTTTTCGTATTCAATACACAATTAATCGAATAAAATAGTTGATGCTCATCTTAATGATAGAACGCGATTGTATTAGCAAAGCTGTCGTGACTGAAATTACGAAGAATAAGATTACTTGTGTTTCGTCTTACCATAAATATTGATGAAAGCAATGAAAAGATTCGCCGTTGAATTGCACTCATGAACGAGACGGAGAGAAGAACGGACTTGAAAAGCTTGTTTTCGTCAGTTCCGTAGTATGCTAAAAGAAACCACTCAGTCTTATTGATTTATTCATCTTTTCCATCGAAAATATTTGATTAGAATATTGACGATAACTGTGGAATGTTGATTTATTTTTAGATTGGAAACGACGTGAATGACTTTCATGTTTTTTGCTAGCAAACACCTGTTATTCTGTAAATCATGATTCGTCGCGCTTAGCTGACAGTCTGGAAGGAATTTAATCGAGTTTTCCTGCTAATAATTATTGTAAGTTGTGCTGAAAAAATTAAAGACAAAAAAAAAGCATTATCATTAAAATAGTACCTAAGAAAACATGACATATTTAATACCTTCTCAGACACCTTTTCAACTGAAAGCATCTTGAAAAAGATGTCGCATAAATAAATAATATTGAAAATTAATCAAAAGGTGATAATAGGAAGTTGAAGCCTGGAAATTCAGAGTTCATCGTTCATTTCTTTCCAGGGTTGTCAAATTTCAAGTGGAAAGGAAAACAAGCTCGTTGCTTTGAAAGAAAATCTCTCGAGAGTCTCTTTTCTCTATTTTCAATCCATGTTTCAATGAATACCAATGTAAGGAAAAGGAAAAGATTGTTCCAACTACATAGAAATCCTTTCAAGTAGCATGTTCTACAATTTCCTTGTTTATTTCATATTCTACCGAGTTTCCAATCGGTAGTTTTCTGTCTCTCCGTTTTTTCTTCTTCCATTCATCCGAACTATTTCTATCTTGACGCTCGTTCGTCCTCGAATAGTAGTAAAAAGAATCATTTTCATATGGCGCACAGTCAACAGCATTCTGCTTGTTGGTTTTGTTTCCTCTTATTCATTCTTACATGTTATTATTATTCTGCTACTTGCTTATAATACTTTACACAACAATTACCTGACTCTCTCTCGAGGGGTGTATATAAATCTCGTCAAAGGAAGCAACATGGAATTCTACTCTCTAGTTAAGACGAACTATTGTCTCGAAAAGTTGATAGCAATTGTTGGATAACATTCTTTCATTCGATGTGCCTGACAGGCCTAATTTAAATGGTGACACATAAAAGACATTCATCCTTTCACGAACGAGTTCCTTCTGCTCATGTTTTTTTTCAGTCAATCTTTTTCCTTCTTCTTCTGTTTTTAACCATATACGAGTAAACGTCGTCTGAGTTAGTTTTCCGCATGCTTCAACATATATTCTTCTTTGTAGAATTACTTCAATGACGAATATAGATGAGGAAAATAAGTCAAAAACCGGCGTTTTGGAGCAAATTTATGTGTAAGAGAACACTTTTAATATCTTTCCTGTCGTTGTCAATCAATATTGGTTGTTTCTACTTAGACATGATGTTTATAATCGACTTGGCTCGACGATCTTAACGCAAGATACGGTAGTATGGCCGAAAGTTCGGAAATTCCTCAATCGAATCGGCTCACAGTATCAACATGCCTTAGTTGCTGATGTTGGTATGTTGAAATGCATCGATTAGTAGTTCCGACAGATCTTTCATTACGTTTTTCATCGAAGGTTGTGGCAATGGCAAATATGTTAAACTTAAACCTGATCTGTTTGCGATTGGCTGTGATCGTAGTGATCAAATATGTGAAATAGCCCGAGAGAAATATACTCAGATACCAATTATAATTGCGGACAACCTTTATCTACCATATCGAGATAATTTATTTGATGCAGTCCTTTCTATTGGTGTTATTCACCATTTAACGACACACAAACGACGTGTACAAGCTATTCAAGGTTTCTTTCAAATAAACTTTTTTTTTCTGTGTAAAGATTTCTGCGTTTAGAATGTCTGCGAATTTTGAATCCAAATGGGGGTCAATTATTAATCTACACTTGGGCAATGGAACAAAAACATCGAATAGTAAGTCATTTGACAAGAAAGAAAAGTACATTTAAGAGCAATTTTTCTTATTTCCCTTTAGTTTTCTAGTCAAGATGTTCTCATTCCATGTATTAATCATCAAGCACGTTCAGGTATATTTACCCTACCTGACATATTTTTCATAATTGTCGCATGCTTTTATCAGATATCAATCCAGATAAAAATTCTCGGCCGACAAGCCCTTACTCAATGGATGAGAATTTCATGTCTCCAGTAGAACATGGCTCACCAGGACGAACAACACCATCCATTCTGGCGTCTGTTCAAAATCTATTCCAACGAATTGTTCGACCATCATCATCAACTCCGTCCACACCGAAGTTATCTCATCAAGATCTTTCAGCATTTCGCATACGTCCATTTCCCATGAGTTCATGTTGCAATGAACCAGTGAATACTAATCCGTATAATAAACGTTTCTATCATGTATTCAAATATGGCGAATTAGAAATGCTTATCGAAGAAGCAGCAAAAGCGATCGTCGGGTCGAAAATAGTCAAATCATACTACGATCATGGCAACTGGTGTGCTATTGTACAAAAAGATTTGGATATCAGTTGAATGTAATAAACTACTTTTTTTAAAACATAATTCAGGAAAATAGAACGTGGAAAGAAAAAACAATTAAATGTTTCCAGTGTTGGATTCTTTTGTGTTGCTGTAACCTTCATTTTCAAGTCTTATTCATCAAGACGACACGTACATACATAGCTCTCAGATGAAAAAATGATTATTGCATTAGTCGAATGTGTGCATGTAATCATATTTATGTTGAAATATCATGTTTTTTATGATTCTACTGGTTGACTGGTGTTCTCGAAAGGAAATACAAAAGTATTGATCCATATAGTTATTTGCAATTCACATAACGAAGTTGTTGTCTGTTTATCGTTGAAGGAAATGAGTTTTACATAGGAATACGTTCTATAATTAGTTGCCCTATCGTCTGAACTCTCAAAATGCATTTTCCTTTCGTATCTGTTGGAAAGTCATTGGGAAAATATTCATTCTATTGATTTATTTATGCAAACAATACGATGTACAAGAAAATTTTATACAAGTCGATATATATATTGGCTTTCGCTATGATAAAATAGTTCGATTAATTTTGTTCGAGTAATAATTTCTCTAATGAATGTTTTAATTTGTGTAACGATACATTTCCTTGCATTTTTTCGACATTTTCAATCTGATGACCTTCGAGCATTTTGATCCATGGTCGAACGTGTTTTTCAACTTGATCGTAAAGACTTGCAATAGAACCATTGATTGGTTTCATTCGATCAAGAAGAATCTGCAGATCATTACACCTAAAAACATACGAAAATCTTCAAATTTGCAAAAGTTAAACGAGAAAGTCTTACAATCCATTATGTTGAGGTTGACAGCAGTAAGAAGATTTCAATGGACAATCGCGAAATAGCCGTTCATCAAGTTCCCATTCGATATCTAAGCGTATTTGTGAAGTTGACCAATCGATCGTAAGTCTAAAAATATTTCCAATCATATTTCCTCAGAAAAGAAGTCAGCAATTGGACATACTTATTATCAATTAGTTTACATGGTAATGTTTCAAGACAAACAATCAATGTACGTGATAAGTTATTTGCAATAAGTGAATATTCAATTAATTTTCGAACAAATTCAACAAGGTATGTCATAGATATTGTACTTGTCAACGGACGATTCCAATAAGTATTGATTTCATTTTTAAGTAATTCGTACGCCAATTGTTGACTTGGATTTAAATTTTCTATTATGAGAAGAGAGTTTGAAAGATATACACGATGTTTTATGGTAATTTACCTTCAGTAGAATAAGTAATTTTACATTCGATTGTATCATCATTGGCGTCGGATATATTCGACCAAGTTACAACGCGGCCGATTGCTTTTCCGTCGAGTTGAATATGAATTAGATTTTCAAATAAACCAAGTTCTAGCTGGTTCGTCGATCGTTTTATTATTTTACATTCGCATCGACTGAAAAGCGGTTTCTATATCATTTCGTTATCAAAGATCGATTTCTTACTCCAAACGGTGCTGATAGGCAGCATCGTGTAGCGATTGTATGAATAATCGCATATTATGAGCTTCTTTCGCATCATGTTGGGCCATGTCATGAACCTGTTGCGTATCTCTATGAAAAAAAGATTTATTTTACTTGTCGCGAATCATCGATTACTTACTGTATCAGACGAGTTATGATCTGATGGTACTTTTCATTTACTATAGAACGAGAAACACGATTAGAAGTAGAAAATAATCGTAAGTTGAGTTTTACCTAAGGTCAAATGATTGACTTTGTTTCGTTGTCGAGTCAGTTCTTGATCGATCTTCGTCATCATGGTCGTTGTGCCAAGATCTTTTTGCACTAATGACTGGACATTGCTAACAGCTGACATGTAACATTCATCGCGTACTGCTGATAAAAGATTATCGACTTTGCTTAACACACGTTCCATAATCAGAGAAAATGTTATTTTATCCAACGAGTGTTTCTAAAATATTAGAAAAGAGAAGTGTTAAACATAATTCATAAAGATGTTACTTTAATCGATTCAGCAAGTAATTGAGCAGGCGGTATTCGACTATTCTGTTGTCGTATTTTATCAATGGTGGATTGTGATCTATGCAGAGAAATAGGACGTAAGTCGAAAAGAAAGATAATCGAGTTCATCTACTTTTTTTTATGTTGTTGGAGAACTCTTGCAAATGCTTGCAGTTGTACAAATTCAAGCGTACGAAGTTGATCCATAACGATACGACGTTCCTAAATAAAAGCACATTGATTATTTCATTGTCAATCTCGCGGCGTACCTGAGACATCGAATTATGTGCATCTTCGGATAATGAATCGATTTTATCTGTGATGACAATATTGCCTGAGAAGTATTTGTGTTCACTTGGTACAAGTTTAGCCAAGATAACCGAAAGATTATCGTTGAAGGCCGTTGTCGTTGGCTTCGATTTCTGAATGAAAAACAAAAGAAAATATAAGCATAGAATGGCCATCATTAATGTTTACCATTTGATTGAATAGGTCAATCATCTCACAATCCACCGTTTTCAAAATAATTGATTCTAAACAAAACAGTATACTTTTCCATGGAAATATCTCGTGTATAGAAAAGTACCGAGTTTCGATTGAATATCGATGTTGATCGGCGAAGGTGTATTCACAATCGTCGGAGTTAATGGAAGAAAGCCTTGTTTTGCTTGTAAACGTTGACATCTCTTTGGTATAGTCGAGGATATCTTATTCATTGTTATCGTTTGTTTGACATCGCTCTCCGTCGGGATTTTGGGAAATACAGGACGGATTTGATGAGCATGAATACTTTGAGTATTAATATTCAACGAGAAAGAGATCATGGACGACATGTTCAATGAATGAATGAATGGATGAACAGAACGTGAATCACATTGCTCGTTCGTTCGTTGCAGCTCTTTGTTCGCGCCGATCAATGGAGAGCGTAGACGGCGACATCTAGGATCAATATTGAATGAAACAATTATTTCGAAACGGAAGAATTCTTGACTTAGTCTTATTTAAGACAAAAGTTTGAAGAAAGAATTCATATTTATCTGAGAAAGCAACTTTTGATCATGATTGGTTGACGTAGTTAGAATTCGATGGAAAACAGAACAAAGAAATGACGCTTTATTACAAATAATCAAAATATTTATAAATATTCATTTTACTTGACAGCAAAACAGTTCGTACATTTATTCATCTTCATCTTCATGCAACTTTGCAAGACGTCACGTGCTCGCTCCATGTATCAGCATCAGAACAGGTAAAACAACAAGGATAAAAATTCTTTTTTCTTCTTTGTCAGCGTCGTCAGGTGAAAAAAAGACGTCATACATACATGGTTTAGAAGTGCTTCTTCTGACGTTATAAGCAGCACTGCGCCTTTTGCTAGTTCTTCAAATACAGAGAAAGACTAAATGTTGACGCATATTCTATTTTCTTTCCAAATACCGGAAGTATAAGATTGAACAAAAAAACAATCTAGTCGCGCACAAATTTTTCTACCCAACATTTATTATTTAAATTAGTTTATGTCATTCGTCTGAAGTAAATTTTTTATTCATTCGAAGCGCATTTACTATATGAGTAATATCGAATGGTGAAAGTTCAGAGCAGAAATAGTACATTCCGGTTACCAAGCATTACAAACAATCGTGTTTTGGTAATGAGTTCCGCTGATATTAACTATCTGAATTCTTTTTTCTATCTCGAGATAAATTGAGACTGACACGGTGGGTAGGTCATAAAATCTTGTTCGAACAAATCCATTACCGAGTTTGCCCAGAATAAATATCGTACAGATGATTTGTTGTTTTTCTGCGTGACAATTCTATTCCATATGTTGAAATTATTCACCTTCAATTTTGTTCTGTTTTTGAGAAAGAAAAAATAATACATCATAGCGCTGAAGGATCTCTTGCATTAGTTCTCTTGCGTATGAATTGAATTGACGTCAAATTTGGCTTTCATTGATATACGTCAACTATAATCATACCGAAATAGAATTCAGAAATGAGACAGAGTTAGTAATATTTTTATGCTTCTGTATACGTAAATCTACATGTCGGATTAATTTCCTATTTACTTTCATCATCTCGTCTCCTTTTTCGTTATTTGAATAGTATTTGGAAAGGAGCATCAAAACGAGATCTACCCGATTGGGATCGAAGAACAAAGCACAACTTCAATGAAAATCGGTAATCCATCGGCGAGTGCGTCCGTCGTTATAGAACCACTAGCAACTGATCAATATCACCACAAAGAAACAATCTGGCGTGTTCTACTCGATGCAATTAGCCTTATCATATGTATGCAACAAAGAATCTGACGTTTTTTGAAAATAATGTTGACCATTTCTTTTTTAATTGTTTAGTATTGGTCGTGACAGTTATTTCGCATTATGTTGCCATACCATTTACACGTGGATTCTTTTGTTCGGATACATCGATAAAGTATCCATACAAAGACAATACGATTCCAACGTATGCAGCAGTCATTCTATCAATTGGTGTTCCAATTGTTTGGGTAATTAAATAAAATTGTTTTTCATCGATGAAATAGAATACAAAACTTCTCTAGATGTGGGCAACCGAATTCTGTAAACGATTCTATTTCGCACGATACCCAAAAACAGTATTCACAACACGTCTAGAACTGTGCAGTTCAAAATCGATTAGTATTTCGCCGTTTGTTCGTAATTTATATATGCTTACCGGTAAACAAAGTTGACGCCTAGATCTGTCCAAATGAAAGAGATTTTTTTATCTAGTAATATTTGCTTATGGTTATCTATCCACTTGGGTATTAACGGAAGTAGCAAAGAATTTTGTTGGAGAATTACGACCACATTTTTTGGCTGTTTGTCGACCTAGTTTCGATTGTTCAGCTTTGACGTCTGCACAATTTGCTTCGTTCAATTCATACTTACTCACTGATCAAAATTTTACATGTACAAACGATGACAGCGCAGCAGTTCGAGAAGCACGGTATGTATCTGCATTGAGCTGTGTAATATTCATGATCAAATTCGGTTTAGTCGATCGTTTTTCAGTGGACATACTGCACCGTTGTTTTGTAAGTAGTTTCTCTGAATTTACTACACGAACTATCTTTCTGCGTTCTAGTTGGCTTCGGCTTTTTAGTTATGTATATTCATGTCTCATGGTCATGGCGTCATCTTGGTATTGTCGGTCATCTCTTTCAAGTAGGTCTTGCTATTCTTGGATGCTACATTGGTAAGTGCGAAAAATACCGAATCCATTACATTCATCGAATTTCTTCTAGGATATACACGCATAAGTGATTTTCATCATCATTGGCACGATGTCTTTGTTGGTGGTATAGTTGGCTCATTGATTGCTTTTGTAACATTTAAATTTATTCTCAATTGGCGTCATTACGATCCGAGATTTTTGCCCTACACAGCAAGTACTCATCCGAAAGGAGCATTGACACACAATGGAGATGTCTCAATTGCTAAAAACAATCGTTCTAATCATCAAACAGCTGCTTTTTAAATGAATTTCTTTTATTTTTACTCCTCGTAATAAATCTCTGAATGAAATCACACATTTCTAGATTAAATTCTGTGTGGACTAAGACGCGAAGGAGGATATCTCGCAGTGGCTGAAAGTGATTCAGACACAACACTTGGTCTCGAACAAAATCGATCGTGTCGTCAACGGCAATCATCAACAGAATTGAAACAAAAAATGAAAAGCGATTCATCACGGCAGTATAGATATGATGATGATTCACCTGAAGCAAAATGGTCTGCAACACCGAATGTGGCAGTACGAAGGTATTCGATCTTATTCTCTGTTCTTTTTTTCTTTATGGTACAGAAGAGGAGAAGGAAAAAAGAGAGGAAGAAAAGACTACTAATGTCATTCGATGAATATTTGTTGAATCATTTTCGAAACGAAAATGAAAGCAACGAGAAGTGATGCGCTTAAACAAGAAAATTCTGTCATATCCTACGGGTCGATGGATATTTCATCGACGGATATTAAAAGGTTATCTATTAAATAAATAAGATCCTCGTTTTCAACATGCATCACTCAATCATTTTTGCTTTGAATTCTAGTCGTGCTCCAATCATTCAACCCGTTTCAGCGTTGAAATTAGTTTTTGATGGTCTCTCACTTGTGATTGGTATGTATTTCGACATTAATTCAACATATCCACAAATTTTCTGTTTTCAATAGTGCTTCTAACATGGCTTATGTTTAAATATTTTGTCAAACCTGTGCGTCGTGCATTTCTATGCTCGGATCTCAGTCTGTACCACCCACCACCAGAAAAAAAGGTCTTTCCGACATGGCTCCTATTCGTATGTGCGATTATTGTACCACTAATTATCGTACGTTCGTTCGTTGAAAACATTTGATCGGACTGATTCTCTGCTTTCCTAGATCATCCTATCCGAAGGTATTCGTTGGTTTTATTTATTTCGTAAGAAAGCAGCAAAAGTTGTGTACAAAATTCAAGTTCGCACCAAAGTTTATGACATTCCGGAGTGGGTAGGCAATCTCTACATTATCGTCGGTACGTATTTTCATGGAACTTCGAAGTGAAAAATGATTGATTTGGTCTGCTAGGTGTCTTCATTTTTGCCAACTGTGCTAATTCGTTTTTAACGAATGTCGGCAAAGTCACTGTCGGTCGATTACGGCCACATTTTATCCCATCGTGTTTTAACAAATTCTCGTACAAAGATTTCTGTGGAGATCCCAATGAATGGATCGTTAATTATACATGTCTCGGAGAGTCAAGTGATCTTGTCAAAGAAAAGGATGGAGCTCATGATATTCGGTATGTATAGATGAATCATTTCGTGAATGGAATCGTCCGACGGCAGTTGTTCCTTCGAATCAAAATGTTCTTATTGAGTTTGTAACAGACAACGAGATGAAGTTTTGATAAGTTTTCTCTATAAAAACATCCGTGTCAACTTTATTATTTGACGATTTATGATCGATGTATAAACATAGAGAATCGACGATAAGTCGGATCGATTACCATAGAATAGACTTGTAGTAAGATCATAAATTGAATGAGTATAGTGTAGCGAAGCTTGTTGATTAAAAATACAGCTACAAGTCAGTATTTAACTATCGATGTTTAGAACAAATTTGTAGATATTGAATATGATCCTTTATTTTCTAGTCAATCATTTCCATCTGGACATTCATCGTCAGCTTTCTGTGGTCTTATTTTCTTAGCTGTAGGTTGCTCATTTTCACACACAAACACGAGAATTGGTCTACTTTATTGCTTTCTGTAGCTTTATATACACAGAGTCTGGAACTATCGTAACATTGGTTTATTACCATATGTCATGGAAATGCTTTGCTTTGCGCTAGCTGCCTATATCGGTTCGTTTGAATTCCATTTGATATTTATTTTCGATATTTTCTATTGTTTCTCAAGGTATCACACGTATTACCGACAATCGTCATCATGCCACAGATGTCCTTAGTGGCGCTATTCTAGGAACGGTTGTTGCTGTCATTGCTGTATGTCAATTTTTTCGATTGCCGAACAAATACAATTTGCTGCTTTTTGTTTATTTATAGTTTCGTTACATGGTCAAATCATTCAAACGATCAGTTCTCTCAGATCTCGGAAGTGGCTCTGTAGATTAAATTGAATTCGAAATAATCAAAGCTACTTTGTTTCTTTTTGAATCATCTACTCTATACACAGTTATTTAATCCAGCATAATTATGTAACAAGTTCGTACTTAATGGTTTTTCTGTGAATGATCACCCTGACAAGCTTACAAGATGTTTCATTTCAATACAAATTGTGAATACGAACAATTTGAGCAAAGAACATGCTTAATCTAGCTCATGATATTGTATTTATAACTCTGTTTTTATTGAACGTAGAAATAAAGTCCTTTCTCCTCTTGGAAACGAAAGTTTTCTCGGCATACTATCTAGAATCGTCTAGTTTTGCTTCGATTGTTTAGATAAGATTTATCAATGGCTGAAAATCAAGAGACGAAAGTAGAACATACCGAAGAAGAACAGCTACTAAATGACATCAAGGATCAAATAGATGCAGATGAACAACAACCAACAATTGTCATTAACGAATTTACTGAAAAAACAGAAATTGTCAAATTAACAGTGGTAAATTATATTTTCTATAGAGACGTGGAGAAAAAACTGTATCATTTTACGACTTCTTAGGAAAGTGACATACCAATTGAAGATCTAAGGAAACTGTATACTAGTTCATCAAATATAGCAAATGTATCTACATCGAAACCAGAAGAAGCGAGTTCGTCGGAAGAAGAGGAAGATTCAAGTGATCAAGAAGAAGATAGTGGTTATCAGCGTTTACTAATTGCTGAACATCCAAATATGAGTAAGCAGAAGAAGATAGCAAAGAATAACCATCAATATTTGACGTTTAGATGAAAATGGTGAAGAAGATATGGATGACTCATCGTTTTCGTTGTATTGGCAAAAAGTAAATTGGTGTACTCGTTCGAATTTAAATTATCCTCTGTTTTCCAGGCTATTAACATCGGTGATCAATATCAAGCTATAGTACCTGATCTACTTCTTTCATCCGATCTCAATGATCAAGGTTTATAACGATGATCTTCAGTATGAACTTTGCTCTAAATTGTGATTGAATATTTAGACTCACCTAATGATCAACTACTCTGGTCTCCGTCTTTAGACGAAAATCAAGAAGAGAATTCGGCATTAGTAAACAAATATTTGAAACTAGCTGCTAAAGAATGTAATGATCATTCACTGGATATCGATTATCAGCGCCAACCGTTCATTTCTATTCTAGTTCGAACAGCTGATCAAGAGATAATACTTGAAGTATTCCTATCGACTAATTACAATATCGATCAAGCCTTAGAGAAACTTCGTCTACCAACAACTGACAAGAATTATTGTAAATCAAATTCTGACTCTTAGTTTTCTTTTGAAATACGCCTTTTTTCTGTTTAGTTGTACCAGCACCATGGACACTGCCAGAATGTGATAAATTTGAGCAATGTTTCAAAGAGCACGGCAAAGATTTTTCCATGTTTAAGGTTGATTTCAATATGGAAAACTGCTCAGGTTATGGAAAAAGTTTACTTCATTTAGATTCCTAATCGCACGGTGAAAGAACTTATATTTTTCTACTATATTTGGAAAAAATCAGCTCGACATGATGTTTTTGTTCGACAAAATCGCGTCGAAAAACGACGGTTTCACTTACATCCTTACGTAACGTAAGTTCCTTCATTCGAACGCTTCGTTTCAATTGTTATTTTCTTTCCATCTTAGTGATTACCTTGAGAAATTCTTCATAGAACAAGAACTTCAATTGACCAACGCATACGAACAAAATAATTCGTCAACATTAGCTTTAAATCCTCAATTGAGTGGTGATCAATTGCTGGCAAAGCGTCGTTTAAGTTCAGATTTATTTCTCAAACCACTACCAACAATAAAACGGACAAAACCGTTATTAAATTCCACTGATAACGAGCAGCACGATCTTACTGACAATCAACAAATACAAACAAGCACAAGTCCAAACAGCGTAGCTAAAAAAGCAAACGAAGACACGAAATAAAATACGTCGAATTTCTTGTTGGTTTTCTTATCTGTTTTTTGTATATGTTTTATTGTATATGATAGAATTTCTCTGACTTGAAAAGAAATGTCAAACGCGTCGTTTTCCAATCGATAGTCTTTTCAAAAAGTGAAAGAAACGACTGTCCATTCGATCATATTACAGTTACATGCGAAACTTCAACAATTACTAACATGAAGCTAAACAGGTGAACACTTCTCGTGAGCTATCTAATGAGTAGCGTCATCTATAGTGGTCGATTTTACAGATGCTATTCGCGGAGAACTTCGAACGAAAAATGCAAATCCTTCTTGTTTAATTCGCTCGGGAAAAGTAAATCTTTTTGATCGGATGTATTCAACAACTCCATTGGTAGAAGTAATAACCGAGTGCTATTATGACAATATGAACAGTCTTTCACTTTCACCTAGAAGTCAAGTTTGGATTTCTAGGTCGATAACAAAGTAAGAGGCTTTTCTTGTTTGCATGTTCTCGTTGTCAATGAAACATAAATGAAAAATGTTCTATTTAACATTCAAGTAGACATCATGATCAAACTTGAATCTCTCAGCTTCTAATACATTGTTCTTATCTAATCTCGACAGATGTAAATAAGAATCTGCTAAAAAAGGAATCATTTTATCTATGAAAATTTCTTTCTATCTACTATGACCATCAGAATAAAGTCAAATCTACAATCGTACGATAGTACCTATCTCATTCGCTTATACAACTGTTCGCATGTCAGATATATATGATATAATCTTTTTCTCTATTCTCTTTGTTCGAAGATGGAAGTACCTTCGTCTATAAAAGAACGTCTAGCAAAGGCAAATCAAGCTCATTTACTCGACTATTGGTCAGAATTAACCAATGGACAACGGCAAACCCTATTGCATGATATTAATGAGATTGATTTCGATCGTGTCACAAAAGCGTACAATGGTATAAAACATGAGTTGACAGAAAATCATGCTGGTGAAAATGTACAACAAGAAAGTATCGATGATCTCATGGAACCAGTGCCTGATAGTGTAACAGGATCTGTCAATGATACCAATAAAGAACTGCTGGAACACTATCGTCAACAAGGTTAGAACTCATTTGTGTTTGTTCAGTCGTATTAACTTGAGTTTTTGCCTAGGTTTGAAAGCCATTTCCGAAGGCGCTGTATGCGTGTTATTGCTTGCTGGTGGACAAGGAACTCGTTTGGGTATGTTCGCACGTATTCTTCCTTGAATTTCAATCATTCTCTCTCATTTAAAGGTGTTGATTATCCAAAAGGAATGTACAATGTAGGTTTACCATCGAAGAAAACACTTTATCAGATTCAAGCCGAACGTATTCGCCGACTTGAACAACTAGCTAATGAACAGTTCCAAACAACAACATCGACCATTCCATGGTAGAACTTACACAAATGTCTCCATGTTTTTCATACATAATCTTATCATTCAGGTTTATTATGACGAGTGAACATACCCAAGAGCAAACTGAAAAATTTCTTCATTCGAATGATTATTTCGGTTTAAAACCTGAAAACATCATTCTTTTCGAACAGCATATTTTACCAGCATTGAATTTTCAAGGCAAAATCTTAATGGATGAGAAATATAAATTAACAAAAGCAGCTGATGGAAACGGTGGTTTATACCGGGCATTGACATCGAATAAAATCTTAGATGAAATGGATAAACGCCATATTAAATATGTTCATGTTTATTGCGTTGATAATATTCTTGTTCGTCTGGGTGATCCCGTTTTTATTGGATTTTGTATCCAGCAAAATGCTGACTGCGCGGCAAAAGTAATTTTCTTTATAGTATTTCATCGTTGTATTGATCAACATGTGAAATTTTTCTTCAAGGTAGTGAAAAAAGCATTTGCTAATGAAGCTGTTGGAGTTATATGTAAAGTTCGTGATCGCTATCAAGTTGTTGAATATTCTGAAATCTCTCAGAAAACAGCCGAACGGACCAAAGCTGATAACAGCGGCGATTTGCTATTCAATGCTGGAAATATTTGCAATCATTTCTTTACAGTCGATTTTCTTCACGATGTTTGCAAGTATGAATCTTTTTCACACGAGACACGTGATCCCAGCATTTGTTTCATAGACATCACGACGATGAACTTCGATATCATGTGGCGAAAAAGAAAATTCCAGCCATTGACAAAGTTGGCAAGCGAATTGACAAGCCAAAAGATATCAATGGAGTTAAATTAGAAAAATTCGTCTTTGATGTTTTTCCCTTTGCAAAGTAAGAGAAGAAATAGAGATTATTTATCGATGAATCGTGCTTATCACAACGTAGAACGTTTGCTGTTTGGGAAGTGTGTCGCGAAGATGAATTTTCACCGTTAAAAAATGGTTCAGGACCAAAGGATACGGCTGAAACATGTCGAAGAGACTTAATACATCAGCATATTCGATATCTTAAACAGGCGGGTGCTGAGATAACGTATGTGCTTTGAAAACTCAATGTTGGATACGAATAATTTGTTTTTCAGGGAGTCAGATGAAACTATTTGTGAAATCTCTCCTCTTGTTTCGTATGCTGGAGAAGTAAAGTTTTACTTTGAGTAGAATTCTTCTGAAATATTTACTCTTGTCTTCTTAGAACTTAGACCTTGTCAAAGGGCAGACATTAAATTCTTCGATTGTTATCGATGTTGATATCAAAACACAAAAAGTAAGGAGTTTATTTTGTTTTCATGAAAATATTGTCCTAATTCTTTTCAGCCTGAAATTATCGTCACATCTAAAAATTCTTCTTAACTTTATCAGGCAATAATATCCTAAATAAATGTGATTCGATTCTTTTTCAACTTTAGTTTCTTAAAAAAATTTTCAATGTTACAATAATAATCATTAAACTATATAATAAATATGGACCGATAGATAATGGTAGATAATTACAACCGTTCGATGCTATTACTGTACTTGGATGAGTTATGAGTGAGAGTTTCCGCGGCCTAAACGAAAATTTGAAGAATATTATATCGAAAATGTTTATTTTGTTTTACCGTTTTTGTGAATTTGTTTTCATTTTTCGACCAGATGGTTTCCGTTTTGTTGCACTAGAAAATCGAGACAAAATTGTCAACAGAACATCGTTTGAATGATTCTCACCTAGTAGTAGTGGTTATTGTCGTTGTTTGTAGCATTTTAATTGCTGGTGTGTTCGGTGCAAGGTTCGCTTTTCCGTACACCTGCTTCAATACTTCGTATCTATCACATAAACCACAAAGACGAGGACATTCCAATGGCACATTGACAGCAATACACGATTCTGGTGATTGATAATAACATGGAGGAAGTATAGAACAGTTTACTAAGAAGAACACAAATGTCATTGATTAGTTCGAAAGCGAAAAATGAAAGTTACAATGTTCACATTGTGAACCAGTTGCATATGTTGAGCATTGGCATTGACAAGTTTTTAAATCAAGAGTACCATTGTACAGGCAGACTTTGCCATGGCAATCTGAAAGAAAGAAATGCTTTTCTGCTGTTTTATTAGCGACTTTTGCAGTACTTTACCATTTAATGGACGATCTTCAATCCCTTGGTCATAAGGTCTATACAAATTGCTATTCAATTGCCTAGAATAAGTCGAAGTCGAGTTGTTTTTTATTCGTCCATTCGAACTTACCCAGTAATATAATTGCAAACATAAAAAGGCCATTTCATATCAAACATTCCACTAGGGGGACACATCGTCGCTGCACAACCAACTAGAACTGCAGAATGCCATATCATCTAGAAGCAAAAAATCAATATAGAAGACTTATTCGTAACTCTTCGACTAGCCTGTGTATAATGGGCAACAATTCCAGTTGCTGGATAACCATGAATATAATGTTCCTTTTCTTCGATCCACCCACCAATAGCTTGGGTCCAATTGTCATATCCCATAGCTAAATTTTGTCCTGTTGAAAGTGGAATTCCTAGAATGAAGTGTGCATCATTAGTCTATGAAAAGAAACAACAACATTTATGTATAACCTACTCGGTACACTCCGTTGACTGGCTTTATCATGATCGAATTCACAGCGACGAGCATACCGAAGAGCGATTTCTGCTAGATCATCATTCCAATACTAAATCATGATTACGAATAAGCTTTGGCATGAGCTGATAACATAATCAATCTCCTTACCATCTTCTCTATATTCGCTCCTCGAACAAGTCGCCGTTCATGATTGTGTATTCGAAGAATTGCTGTTCGTTCAGATGAGCTAATCTGCAGATCGACTACATTCGGATATGGCTGCGAACAGTACGAATGATTTTCATCCGTTACATAGTATTCCAATGGACACAATTCTAAATCGTTTATTAAAAATGAGAAAACATTTGACAATAAGGTTTCTTATACCGTAAGATTTGAAAAGTTGGACGAAGAGTGTGACGTAAATAAGTATTGCTAACATGTCATCGAAATTCGAGTGAATGATCAGAAAAATAACTAGTAACTATTCATTATTTCTCTCGCTTTGCCCGAGTTGTATGTTATCAATGTCACGTACAACTATTGAATTCGAATGGATATGTTTATATGGCAAAATATTTTATTTCATGATTCATGATGTTATAAAATATGCTGTTGACATATCTGTCTTCCTAATCATCGTGGAAAGACTATCGTAAACTTATGACGATTGTGGAAAAATAAAATACTTCGAATTTCAAATCGTAATATGCATATATTTATCTATTTTCCTTATCCACCCGTAGTTTTTTTGTATATAGTAACAAAGAAAATGAAGAGAAATCCAACATCATTGCAAAAAGCAAAGGAAAGATAAGATAAAAGATGAACACAATAAGAAAAAGACGAGTTGGTATTCAACTAAAAAGATGAACAAGAAGAGAGAGAGAAGGGAAATGCAAGAGCATACGAGAATAAAAGAAAAACACAAAGCCAGGCGCTGCTCTGAGCACACGTTTAAGAGATCTAAACACGAATGAATGATGATAAATGTGGTATGCGAGACAGAGAGAGAGAGAGAGCTCGAGAATAAAGTTATGACTAGGAAGATAAAGAAAAAATATAGAACATAGATAAATGAAACAGTAATAATAATAATAATAATAATAATAGTAATAATAATGGCAATAACATCGATGATGAAATGTCTGTGGTTGATTAAGAATTCTTAGTTGGTGTAGATCCATTGCTAGATTTTTTATGTCTTGTGACAGGTAATGGAAGTTTACTAGGTCGTCGCTGTTGTGCGTAAGATATCGATGCGATTGAATGTTCAGATAGAACACTCTCACGACTAGATGTTCGGCTCAATGTTGATGTGTTTGGAGTATAAGAAGCGATAGGAACTGGTATATGTGATGGTCTTGCTTCGGAATCACCTATGTATAAAGAAAAGGATTAAGCAGATTGATTTCTCAGTATCAATTGAATTCTTACTTAGTATATGTGGCGACGTGGAAAGATCATCGCCTGATGCGGAAAGATCACCAATCGATGAAGAATTTGTTTGATGTTGTTGAGTGTAAGAATTAATGGACGAAGTTCGTCGAGATTTGTCTTTCGATCCCTACATAAGATTGATATTCATTAGATAGGAAAAGATCGAAAAATAAAATATAAACTATTTACTCGATTCGGTGTTAAAATTGGCGATTGTTTCGATGCTGCTGCAGCAGCTGCTAATTGTTGTTGATGGAACAGACATGTCGGTCGATGAACCGTAACAAGTCGTGGTTTGAATAAGGTCATTGTCTGTGCTACGCCATCACGTAGAGCATAACTTTCTGGATGTAGCTCATAATTCGTACGACCTTTCGCTAGAAAATATCAATTGATTAGTTCGAATTTTGAATAATACAATCATCGAGCGCAAACATAGACAACACATCACAACAAATCGTGCTAACACCTACTGTCACCTGATTGAGATTCTGGCACATAGTAAAGACGTCCTGCAATATGCGAGTAGACAAAGAAGCAAAGCAAGAATAAAGCACACAAGAACTTTCGAGAAAAGGAGAACGAATAGCAAAGGTACCTGCAGCAACAGCCGCCAAAAATCGACTGTATACGTGCATGCCTGTGTATTGTAAAACATATTTTTAAAGTTAGTCGATTGGGAATGCTTAGTGAAATAAGCATTCGCACAGAAAAAGATCTCTCTATTCGCTGCGCCGAGTGTTTTGTGCTCAGAAAATTTGAAATTCAAATACAACTTACCTCGACATGGATCGTGTCGTACAAGAAATTCATCCAATGCCGTCCAGCCACCTCCAACTCTGACCATAACCGTCGATCGAAGTATTCGAACAAGACGAAGACTTTGTGATTCTCCAAACTAAACAACCAAATGTATCTCTCATCCTCGACAAACTCTATTTTTCCAACTAACCCGATAGCGTCCTTCTGCCACTTGCTGCACATCGTACTTCTTCGAACATGTACACAACGATGCTTGTCGGTTGACTTCGCTTTTAATCCGATCGATATCCGTGACTTCCGGTCCAATAGCCTGCGAAAGAAGATGAAAGTTTATTCGTAAAGTACAAATGTTTCTTTTACCTTTTTCGCATCTTGGAACGCTTTTTGCAATTCTTTTGTGCGTTCCGTGGTTCGCGTCAAGATCTTTTGCCAACGTGTTTGTACGCTAATGAGAGAATTTCTGATGTAAATTGAATCATTTTTCGGCGAAACAAATTTCAAATGCGTTGCTAATTTGTCCAAATCAATCAAATGTTCTTTGTATGTTTGCAACTGAATTTGAAACACTTTATGATCATCGATTTGTTTCAATAAAGTTTGAATCAAACCAAACCGACGTTGCACAGGCTTCTGGTGATTGAGATATCGTTCTGTGTCAGTTAACCATTCGGTGAATTTTTGTAAAGATGAATGAAATAGTTCAATCGAATGAGCTAATTCAATTAATTCTTGACCCTTGGTTAGTGTTCGCTGTTTAACATCAATTAAACGTTCTAAATGACAAAATTTGATTGTTACAGTAATGAAAAAACTGATTGTCTTACGTTTCAAATCGATGATCAGTTGATTATTATTCTCATTCTCAAATTCTCGGTTGATTTCTATTTCAATATTCTCCAATCGTTCAACGAGTACTGGAAACTTCGTGTTTATTGTACTTTCATTCACTTGTTTGTCGATCACGTCAAGTTCATGATAAATACGATCGATGGATTTCTGTTTTAGTTTCATTTGTTCCAATTTACTTTCCAAATAATTATATTTCTCCGTTGCTTGCTTGAGCAAGTCTTCCCATTGTTTGTTGATCGGTTCAAATGAGTTTTGCTCTTCCACTGAACTCTGTTTCAGTTGTTCGATGTCATACGAGACCAGTTCAATGTCGTTGAGAAGAATGCGAAGTTTGGCAATGGAGATTTCGATAGATTTCATATCGTTGAGATTGGTTGGAGTAGAACTACTTGTTAGAGCAGCTAGTTTCGATGAACAATCGTCCAATGAGCGATTGATGTCAGAAACAACGTCGCCAACGCGGTTTTGACGAAGTGCGGTCTCGTAAACAAGATTTTTACTAAAAAAATACGAGAGAAGATCGATTGAAGAATTCAAGAGAATCTATTTACTGTTCTTGGATTTTGCCATTTAATTCACTCCATTTTGAATCAATGTTACTCAATTGCTGTTCCACAAGATTCGTCTTTTCAGTTTCTTCCATATGACGATTATCCTGTTGGATTTTGCCGTCAAGACGTTGTTGTTTACGTTGTTCAATATCTGTATAATCTTGTTTTAGATTAATTATATCCAAATATTTACAATCGAGATGTTCTTTAAATGTTCGTATACGCTCGAATTCGTCATTATCATTGACATTAGCGGGAACTGATGTGTCATCGAACCAAGTTGAGACACGTTCTAATTTTGAATTAAATTCGGCGGATTCGATCATCGCTTGTTGTAATTCCTGTTCACATGTTTCGAAATTGGTTTGAATGCGATTCCATTCTTGTTCTAACTCGTGCAAATTGCGTTGAACTTCTTCAGTTTCTTCAGGATTGTTTGCGATTAAAGTTAACAATTGCAAACTTTGCTCATGGAGAATTTCTTGAAATTTCGTTTGTTGAGCTGCAAAGTCATTCACTAGTTGATTGTACTTGGACTTTTCGCGTTCAATATGTTCGCGGGACGTTGAACGTGGACGTATTTGTAACAATTCCTTTTCGACGTTGTCGAGAAATGTTGCAAGTTCGGAATGTTGCGTCCAAAACGTATTCGCACATGCTTGAGTTAAGAGAAGATTTTCCGTACGAATATCGTTGGCTTGTTTCATGATTGACCAGTGTTCATTCAATAGATTGAGTTTTTCATCCAACACTAAAGTAAAGGAAAATAATGATGAAGTTCAAAGTTTCCTGGGTTCGAACTAACCTTTGATTGAATCCGTGTTTTCTGCATTGGGCACCATTTGTTTCAATGTGTCGATATTTGATTGTAGCTGATCGAGAACGATTTTCCGTCGTTCTAATTCGCTTTGGACGGCAACATTATCGAGTAATTGTTCGCTGAGCTTTATTGGCTGAGCTGAGACTGTATCAGTTGTCGATGATACTAATAATTCCGATAATTCATTCATAGCAAGATCAGTTTCTTCGATATGATGTTGAAGTTCATCTGTTAATTGATTTGTGAGGGCAGGTGAGATCTGAAAAGAGATGGACAATGTCCAATTTTCATTAGATATTAATAGACTCGTGCTTTACCGGAGCATGTTCTTCTACGGACGGCGTTGGTGTTGTCGGTGCTGTTGTTGTTATTATTGTCGGTGATTTCGATGTCATTTCCGTCTGATCACTACTTTTCGTTTTAACCGTAAGACTATCATAGTATCGGTTGATGGTTTCTAGCGAACGTTCGATTTGATTGTCGGTATCATCAGATAGATTGGTCGCTGAACTTTGTAACAAAAGCTCGCCTTTTTGGTTCAATATTTCGATTTGTTCGTAGATCTTTCCCAAGTCACTACTGAGACTCTGTGCTTCGCTTTCGTTCAAACTTTCTAAACATTGTTGTTTTTCGTTTAACGAATTTGTTAACTCATTTGACAATTGCTGAAATTCACGGAGATCTTCCTGATGCAATTGAATATAATCCAGGGTATCGAGAATATATTCCACATATTCCGACCATATTTTATCTAAACACGAGAAAATCAATCATTCATTCGACTATCTGAAAACTCTTTCATACCGATCGAAGCCACTTGATTCTGAATCGATTCCACATCGAGATATCTTTCGGCGATATTGATCAACATTAAACCAGCTGTTTTAAACTCATCGATGCTCGAAGACATCGCTTTCAGTTGATCAGCAATATCCTATTTCGAATAAGAAAAGTCATTTAGCAAAAATCAAGAAATTCGTACAGAATATCAGAGTTAATCCTTCGATCTAACCTCGATACACTCCCTCTTAAAGATGTAAATATGGTGAATTTACTTTATATTTTTGTAGTAAGATCTCAATTTGTTGATTATCCAATGGAAGGATTGTATTTTCTTCAACCGTAACTAAGTCTTTCGCTTTATCGATTATATCCTCTGCCTTTTGCTTCGCTGCTTGATATTTTTCTGTTTGTTTTTGGATTTTCTCCAAAATTTCCAGATGCTGCAGAATTCTCTCCTTCATTGTCGTGTAATTTTCAATCAATTCATCTGTTTGTCGTTGAAAACCTTTAGTTATCGTCGAATGTTCATTGGGATGTTTGGTTAATTTCAACTGTTCATATAAGTTAACTAAATTATTCGAGGAATAAAACTGAATCAATTGCTGATTTAACGTTTTAAATTGTTCGACGGGCATTCTTGAATGTTCATCCAGTAGTTGTCGACACGAATCTACAGTTAATTCGTTCGGATATTGTTTCAAGAGACGATCAGCTGATATTAACCATTCTTGAATGATATTTTTCTTCGATTCATATTCGTTTAGAATATCCTGTCGATGTGAAAGAATGGATTTCAAATCTTTTTGGAATCGGTCGTATTGTTGTTTGTATTCGTTAACGTGCTTTTGATATTGAAGAATCTCATCTTTATCTTCAATATTATCCGTTTCGAGAAGATCTCTGATCAATAGTTCGTAGAATTGATGATCGATCGGTGTTTCGTTATCGTTGTTTAACAGTAACTGTAAAGCGGAAAAGTTAATGTCATCGTTATGTTCGATGTGTTCGCTATAAAGACGTAAACGTTTCGAATAATTGTCGATTAAGTGAGCATGTTCAAGATGAAATTCATTTAGCCGTGTGGATAAACGATTGATTCGTTCATTGTATTGATTTGCTTGTTCGTCTAACGAATGCAAATGTTGATCGAGTGACTTCAATGCATTCTTGTCATCATCATCTAATAATTGCTCAAGGTTAATGGTTGTGTTGATATCAGAATCGAAGGAATGACGGCGTGTGCGTAACTGTGCATGAAATTGTCGAAATTGTATAATTTGTTCGTCAAGTTTCGAACGTTTCAGCGAGAGCGGCTTGGCAAAAATCTCATTCGAATCATTTGCATCGTTGCTGTGTGTCAATAGCCAATGATTCAACTCTTCAATACGTTCTTTAATAGTTTGCCGTTCATGATTATATCGTTCGATCAGTTCGAAGTTATGCATTAAACCTTGTTGGGCTTGATCATAACGCTGTTTATGAGAATCCAATAACGTGCAAAGCTAAACGGAAAGAAAACAGATATAATTTCTTTTCACCTTCATACAACATAGAGATGTTTTTCTGTTCTACAAGTCGCCCGAAGATATATGACTCGATGCATCGGACAAAATCGTTCTCTCTTAGCGTGCTATACGGATGTTAATGTTAGGAAAGCGAAAAACAGATTGTTTTTCTGTCTGAGCCGTAAAAGAGGAAAGAAAGGAAAAAATAATTATACATCAGAAATCGTTCTATGTATTTATTTAACTTACGTGTTCTTTGATTTCATTTTGAATTTGACTACCCGCTGAGATGACGGGCGATGGCGAGGCAGGTTCGTGGGTAGCAAGCATACTTAATTTGTCCAGTTGTTGTTGAACGTTGAGGAGTAAAACTTGTAGTGTATTGTCGTCCTATGAAAATCGTCAGTAGTTATTGAAAAGTAGAATAACAAGTATGGAGTGAATAATATTTACCTGTTGTTTGCTATCAGTCGAGGCTAGATTTTGATCGAATTCATTCATTGATTTGAGAACTTGTTCGTTTAGATGATTGACTTCATTATATGTGATTAGATAGCGTTCGCATTGATCGGAGATTTGTTTGGAACGTTTGAGAAAATCGGAATAGTTCGTGGTGAGATTGTCAAAGCGTTGTTGAAATTGTTTATACATGTTCGCAGATTTTCCTCCATCGGTGTTACCAGTTGCTTCTTCGAAATCTTGAATAGTTGAATCGATAGATTGTAATTGATCTTGTAATACTGTGATTTGTGGTTCGAGATTGATAGCCGTGTTTAGAATTGTTTGAAACGTTTTATTGTCATCGTCTAATGTCGTTAATTGAAGACTTTTTTGCATTTCTTTATCGTTGGTGGCTATCCAATCATTCAGGCGAGCATGTTCACTATTGAACTGATCAGTTTGAGTTACGAATCGTTCGATGATGTTGCCTAGACCATTATTGATATTCGAAATCTGAATAAATCCAAAGAAATCATGAAATGAGCAATACGAAATGTTATTTTCTTACTTCAACTCGTTTTTCTTCGAGATCCTGACTTAGTGTAGCAAGTTGAGGATTCACTTCTGTTGCTCGTTCAACGAGATCATGGATTGCTTCTTTTTCTTTTTCTACATCCGAATGTAATGTCTACGAGAACAACAACAACAGTCACATATCTTTTCTATGCACAACAAACCTTTATCTGATCAACATTGGCACGAAGTTCATTCAAGTTATCTGTGAGATATACATATTGATTCAATTGATCATGTAACGAGGTTAAACGACTAGCAACCGCATGCATATCGTGAATAACACGGTTGTCATCAGCCTAAATAGATGGAAAGGAAATGAATTTACTGTGGCAAATCGATTTGTCCGATTGATTATTAACGAAAACATGCAGAAAACGAGCAGCGATAAACGATTTCAAAATAGAATTTGATTTTTACGTGAGCGAAATCGAGATCTTATGAATTTGATCAAAATAACATCAAATAACGAATCGTATGTTTATCTATTAGCATACGTACGAGTTAAACTTCATTTTGTTTCGAATGATTAACGAAAATGATTACTCAATAGACAGAGCAGAATGCCTTACCTGACTAAAGTCGGTATTATCTTCGATTTTTGATGAATGATCCATATCATCATCTAGCTTTTTCTCTTGTTTAGATTCTGGAAGTGTATCTGTTGGAATGGTCGATGAGTGTAACAAATCTTCATCTTCATCACTCGTATTTCCAACTTTCGGCGATGATGACGAAACTGGTTCATGAGAGACTTGCGTAGCAGGCGGTACGAAATACGACATTTCCGATTTATGTCCGACGAGTTCATTCGTTTTGCCATTATTCTCGGTATTATTTTTATTATTTGTTGTCGATGTTAACGAAGAATCCTGCAACATAAAAGAGATGATCATTGCAATTTTATTATACAAAAATAAAACTATCTGTGTATATAAGTGTCAAGAGTAATGATCGATAGCTGATAACATGCTACGCGCTAAGCTAAATACACACACACACACACGCATTGGCAAACGATTCAACATGCATTGTGATTTCCTTACATGAAAACAAAGATAGAGAGAAGAAGTATAGAGAACGATATGACGAATCTACACTAGGAATGTTGTTCGCGCTGAATTTGGAATTTCGATAAAAGAAAGACGTGTACTTCACTGATCAAGAAGATTTTCTTCGAGCAAATGCTACAACATTGTCTATACGAACAATCTTACACCTGAAATCATATCTGAGACTTGACTGTATAATACATTCACTCTCTACCTTATGAATTTTTATGTATATTTCTAGAGAAAGCTTGGTCCTAGATAAACAATTCTATCTTCTCTCAAATTCAAATCCGAAACTGACTTAAGCGTTCTCTACAAATATACACAGATCTCACTAGTCAGAACGAGTATCTCAACATGTCTATATAGTTCTTCGGAACGATTCAGTTGTTTCAAATCGTCGTCACATAAGAACATATAATAGAGCGTGACGAGATACTTTTTCTGCCTATTTGCTCAATCACATCTCCTACCGTTGTCCTAAGAAAAGTCTGAAAACAAAATATGTTTGCCTAAGAAATCAAATGAAAAAAGATAAAAAGCAAAAGTTTATTTATTAATTCTTTCTATTTTTGAGAGAGTGATCAATATTTCACTTTAGTTGATTTTCTATGTATATATATATATATATATATCTTTCTCTATCTTCTTGTCTCTCTATGTTTGTTTGTTTGTTTTTTTTCGAGTCAGTCGCGCATGAAGATCAACAAAAAAACGTGTGTACAATTGTAATAAAAGAAGGAAAGAAAGGGAAGAACACACAAACGCACACACTAAAAAGAAACAAATGTAATCTAAGACACAAATCAAATAAGAAACGAACATGGTGGGATTGGAGAAGTTCTGCTGAAATACTAACACGATGATAATACAAAAAATAAGTTCTAAACGTTTATACACAAAACGCTTGTCATATCATAATATGAGAATAACAAACAACAACGAAAAATGACGAAAAAAAAGGAGATTCTAATCAATTGCGTAAATGAAGTTCATTTTACAAAAATAGAATGTGACGGTGGTAAATGATGAACAAGTGATAATAAATAAAAGTAATACGAGAGAAAGAACGTAGAAGAAAAAGATGGCATGAGCAGATTTATCATCTGATCATAGTCATTAAGCAGACGGACGATGGGTGCCACCGAACTCACCTAGAAAGAACAAACACATATTTGGTTTTATTGTTCAAAAGATTAATTTGATGCAAAAATCAAACAGAAGAATATGTAAGCAAGAAAAAACATTCTAAAAAAAACACGATTGTGACCATCACCATTCGTATTAACTCACATTTTTAATGTTTGGCATTGTCAATGTGTGTATGTGTGTGTTTTCAACCATTTAACATGCATTGGTGATAGTTTATGTTGTACAAACAAATGCGCAGAATTACAATGATTAAAACAAGAGAAAGAAAGAGATGAAGAGATGGATAGAGCGTGCGATTATTAAGAAAAAAAACAAACAAACACACATGAGTGCATCAAATGAGCATTATGATGTAGGATGAAATTAACTATCTGGTATGATGCTTTTTTTAATCGAACAGAGGTTAACTTACCTTGGTAATTACTGTTGGTAGATGAGAAAGATTTTGTTCTAAAAGAAAAATGGCAGTGTCAGGAGGAAGGAAGGTGAGAAATGAAATCAAATTACGTTTTTGTTGGAAGCCAGATGAACGTCCGTTTTGGTATCGACTTGATGAATCATGATTGTTGTCTTGGGTACGGATATTTGATGTTGTTGTCGTGCTTGAGTAATACGTATTTCCACCTGTTTTTCTTGAACCACCGCCACCGAAACGATCATTGTCATCGTCATCGTCATTGTTTCCTCCTCTCCATCCACTTCTCCAATCATCATCTCGACATCCTTTGCGATTGTTATTTCTCGACGGGCTTGAGCCTGTACGTCGTCGGATGCTTCGTTTGCCATTGGCAGATGTTGGACTATTCGTGCGGTTTTTCGCGGCAATACGATGCCAACCACCGCTTCCATGTGAGTCCTCATCAGCTGAATCCGGCGCACTATTATAATCGAAATGTAGCGAACTTTTCGCTAGTGAATGACGTCGACGATTTCTTGACGTAATCTTAGCAGCGACAGTTTCATGGTCAGCTTTAATTGGTACAAGTGGTGCACCAACAACGGCGATAATACCATGACGAATAGCCTCACGAATTGAATATGTTGCACGAGAATGTGAATCATAGATTAAGCCAGATTCGTGATCAATGAGACCACGTTCAATTGCATCTTGAATAGAGTATTCTCGACTAGTTTTAGGATCGAACAGTTTTATACGATTGTTATCAAGTAAGTTCTTTCGGACAGCTTTTTCAAATCCAACTGATTCATTTTGTGATGGAAGAAACACTTCACCAGCATTAACGTCAAATTGAGAGAACAATTTTCGATGATTGTAGGCTAGTTCCAATGTCGTGATAACTTTATTCGAATACGAATCCACCACTTGTCCTTCGTTATCGATTCGAATGCCGTCTAATGCTTCTTTCAATGTCATAAAACGGCCAGTGGATGGATTTTCAATAACAGTACTTTGACCATCGATCAAACCACGTTGAATCGCTTCTTTCAAATTCAATTGTTCACCACTATGCGGATGCTTATACGAGCCAGTACGTAGATTCAATAGACCGCAACGTATAGCATCTTCGACATTCATACGATGTAATTTCGATTCAACTAACTGTGCGCGACATAAGCTGATTTTTGCTGGATTGAGTTTACCACCGTCTCGACGGTTGATTAATCCAAGTGAAAATGCATCGTAAAGTGTGATAGGTCCTTGGTCACTATCAGCAAATGCAATGCCATTAACATGAATATGACCACGTTCAATAGCCTCCATTAATGTCATGTAATGCTCAGTAGCTGGATCTCGGAATGTACCTAGACGAAAACAGAGGATGCTTTGAAATGGAGAATCTTTTTGTCCGAAAATTTTTACCTGTTTCAGCAACATAGAAACCAAGTCGAATGGCATTTTGCATTGATAAACCTAATGGTTTACGTTCGACATGTTCGCTTATTTCCGCTTGAATTAAATTTCTGTTTACAGCTTCTTGAATTGACATCGTTTCGCCCGTTGAAAAGTCCGTATAAGTCTTCGCTTCAGTATCAATCATTTGGTTTTTAATAGCGACAGCGCCTGATTCCATTCGGCCCAGTGCATTATTTTGTACCCCATGAATCTTATACAATGTAATACGTTTTTCAGTTATGGTATCGGTGATTAATTCCAAATCATATTCTTCGAACTTCTTTTGGCTGACAAGTTCCACATCGAGTAGTCTCTTTTCGATAGCTTTCTCAAGTGGGATCTTCACGCCATGTCGACGATCGTGATAGATACCTTGAGCGTAATTTAGAATGCCCACAGCTTGAGCTTCTAGGCCGCCAATCTTTTCAAGTGATTCACTATCGAGGGCAACACTCTTGACGATAAATTTCTTGATGATTTCTTGTAATGATGATGTCATCATTTCCGTGTCTTCTTTCGTTTCGATGATTGTCGCATAGACTAAACCTTCATTGATGGCTTCAGCTAATTCATATTGAGCATTGGTCACCAAATCACGATAGCTACCTAGAAAAGGAAAGAAGGATATAGTAAGGTTTGTCGTTGTTCAAGCGTCAGTTCATGATATGCTGTTCTTAACCTTGTTCATAAAATGAAACAAAAAATACGGTGCTGTTCATCACCACATGTATCTATATGAGTATCAGGAGTAAGATAGATCGAACTTGCATTGTGTCTGTCGTTAGTGTGATTGTCGTAGGTGATAGAATTTAGAATTCATTCGCGATTATTGTTTGTTTTATGTGCATGAATCAACTATGGAACAGATTTGAAACTTATGGCAATCCACGATCGATTCACATGCGTACAGATACTCTCTTTCTTCGAGCTTTCCTCAATCGTGATCTCTTATTTTTCGTAGTTCATGTTCAAAATCTGTTCGATATCTGATCATGAGTCGACATTTGATGATGATGATATCCATTTGATATCATTGAAATATACGTGTGTGTATATTTAAAGTGAGATGACTACCCCTTGACGTGCATCCCTTCGTCGTTCTTTTTTTTCATTCGTTGCACGATGGTAGTAATAAATAATAACAACCACCAGATATGATCTTTTCTCAAAGATCAAACAAACAATAAAAATCCCTGATACCCCTCATAACGACTTGCTGTTTGTACTTTGTACAGATATCTTTTTTCAAAGGGAAGTGCAGAGTACATATGTAAGTTTTTATCACCATGTCAAAGCAATAAAAAAAATGAGATAACCTACTGATTTCCATATTGCATTTTCGTACTATTAGGATTAATTAAACAGAAATGATCAGAACAACCCTGAATATATCGATATGCCTTACCTGTTTCTTTATCCAAGATACCCAAATCGATGGCTTCGGACACTTTGATTTCTTTTTGTGTCAATGGATGTATAACTGATGTGATCACATATGTTGCTGTTTTTGTGGCAATTGTTAATTCATCTTCGTCAACAGATATTATCGAAGGTGGGCGTACACTGTTGTCAGATGAGGATTCATCGTCAGTGCAGCGTATGTAACCAGCTTGTACGGCATCGAAGATAGTCATCACATCATTGGTATCGAATTTTCGGTATTCGTTCAGTTGAACATCGAGAATGCCTTGTCGTAATGCATCACGTGGTAGAATCTTCTTCATATTTCGTGTATCATAAACCCATTTGATATTATATGTTTGGCCGTTGACTGTGACAGTGATTGAATCGGTTGTTGAACCATATTCAGTTGCACCAATAAATTTCAAATATATAGCTTCGTGTAGTGATACTTGTGAGTTGTTAAATGGATTGATATATCGGCCGTATTTAGCATCGAGAAAATTCTTTGCAATTGCTTGTCGAGGAAAGATGCGACGTTTTGTTGAAGAATCTAACACCCAGTGAATCATATAATCAATACCATCGACACGAATAGGCAACGAAGCTGTATCTGGTTCCACACCCATATAACCTAATTCGACGGCTTTTTCAAATGAGTATGCTTGACGGTTTAATTTCTCATCGAAAAACAAGCGTTGTTTCGTATCAACTAATCCACGTTGATATGCATTCTGTAATGGTAATCGATCACCTGTAGCTGTATTCATCACCCAGACGACACGATATGGTTTATCCTTGATCATCATTGTGCAATGCCATTGCTCCCATTCGTCTTCACTCCAAGATTGTTGCTGTTGTTGCTGTTGATCATCGTGCCAATCATCAGGACGTTGCGGTTTTGTTCGACTATCGATTTCAGTTCTGGTAATTTCTTCTCGAACAACGGTAGTTGAAGGCCGTGGTGGTACAGGAGGTTGAGGACGAGGCGTTGTAATTATTTGTGTCTAGAAGAAAGAAAATTAAGGACGTGTACGCTTTTTTGCTGTGAAATCATATTTTACATGTTCTCGATGTGAACCATTTGTAATGATTTCTTCGTGGACGAGTGGTGGACGTGGTCGAACCGTGTCAATGTGAACTTCTTCATGAATGTATTGTCGCTCCTCTTTAATATCGACTGGACCTGGTCGCGGTCTTGTCACTCGATCGTCAATCACAACCTCTTCGATTTGTCGTTGTTTAATTCTTTCCGACGAACGTGGACGAGTAACATAGACTTCTTGATCAACAACATTTGTCGTATGCTCTTCAATGATTTCCTCTTCAGTCGTCGTATGATGATGTCGACGACGTCTTGGTTCACGTGGAAAGGATTCGATTTCAATGATTTCGGTTTCCCGTTTGATACCATGTGATGGTCGACTTGTATGTACTTGAGGTTCAATGCGTATTGATACATTTGAATGTGAACTAGCTGAACTTATCTGTTCAGCAACCTGAGACGAAACTGCTTGTACTTGTATAATACCGCGTTTAACAGCATCACCAATACTAATTTCATCTCCAGTAACTGGATGAATATACACACCTTTTCTTTGATCTAACAATCGTTGGTCAATACCTAGATGACAGCAATCAAGATAAAGATTAATACTTTCACAGATAAAATTTGCTTACCTTCTTGAAGGTTATAAACGCGATCTGTACGAAGATCAGTAATATTAGTTATTGAATAGAAAGTTTGTTGTTGTGGATTGCCAATAAATGATGTTGGCCTTTGATCAACGAATCGGCCGAGAATTAACCGTTGTTCATAAGCTTCCATGATAGTCATTTGTCGCTGATTAACTGGATGATGATAGGCGGTCACAGTTGAATTAAGTAAACCTGATTGAATAGCTTCGGTGACACCAAGACGACGATTCGTAATTGGATCGACAACTTGCTCGATAATTAGCGTTCTGATCGAACGTTTCGAGTGAGGTTGATCCATCAATTCCGTGAAGATCAAACCTTTTTCGATGGCCACACTTATCGGAAGGTTTTCACCTGTAATGTTATTTACATAAAATCCCTTAGCATGATCGATAATTCCTTCGTCAATGGCTTGTCGAATGGGTATTTCTTTATTTGTACGCGGATGTATCGCACTTTTAAGTGTGTAAGTCTTCGTTTCTTTAACAGTGCCACGCTTGCCGTTGGATATTCCAATTGTTTCTTGAGTATTCGTCGTCGTTGTTGCTGATGATGCTTCAACTGGTAACGGTTGAGCTCGTATATGTCCTTGTGCAATAGCTTCCGAAATCGAGAAGATTTGATTGGTTTTCTTGTTAATATATTGTCCATTTTGTTTGTCTAATATTCCTAAACGTATCGCTTCTTGCACCGACAATTCTTTATCATTAACGTAATCACGAACGCCTAGTAAATGGTACGACCGTGTTTCACGTATCAATGAAGTTGAAATCACATATTTATCATTATGTGGATGAGCTGTCGACGATTGTTGTTCGACAATGATTAAATTTTTATTCATCGCATCATCAATCGATATAGATTCTTGTGTTAAATTATTTAAATATAAGCCATGATAAGGATCGAGAATGCGCTTCTTTATTGCGCTGTTTGGATCAATATATACGTTAGCACGATGATCGTAGACACTTGATATAACTAAGGATTCTGTTTTGGAGATGATGTTATATGCTTGAGAATCGCCCACTTTTAAGATGCCCATTTTAAGTGCATCAGCTAGAGTTAATTGTTTATCGTTCGCGCGATCAACAATACGATGATTATTTGAGGTAATTAAACCGCGAGAGTATGCCGCACGTAAATCGTAATTACTAAGAGAAAAGAAAAAGAAGTTGGATGAGCTTCAAGGTTTTTTGTTTTGATTTTTTTTGACAATGAATAGCGAAACAATAGTCAATTAGATTTGATCTTGTCAATGTCAGGAAAGGTAAACTTTGTAAAATGAGATAATGTCTTTATGATATTCATTCGTCTTACATCATGAACAGAGGAAAGAGAGACTAATATTCATTTTTGGTGTACTCTAATACGGTTTTTTAACGGTCGAAGAAAATGAAACAGGTAGAACAATTTTCGTACTCCTTCGTCTTGTTTTTCTCCTGACATGAATCGTTAAAGTAGAAATTTATGGTTTTTTCGATTATTTTTCCTCAGGCTTTTATGAAAAAAAACATTTAATTTAGCATCCTTTTTTTCTTTTTGTATTCTTTTACTTACCGCTGTTCGAGCGTATCGACAACGTAGGCGCTATGTGCGTCTAAAATATTTGTGTCGATCGCCTCTTTCAATGAAATGGTCGCCGATGTTGTATTGGTATTGGTGTCTACACCGACGGGAGGATGATGATTATTCACCGCGAGTGATGACGAGGACGTAGCAAGATTTTTATTATCGGTTGTACTAATAGTCGTGTGTGGCGTCGATGACGAAGAGGAAAAATGAGTATGTGGATGGCGGTGTTGATCGGACGATAATGTCGAAGAAGAAAAAGTTGAGAAAGAAAGAGCAAGAGGAAGAGAAGAAGAAAAAAGTCCCGATGACAAATCGAGTTGTTTGCTGTTGACCGCATCAACAAAAGACAGATTCTTCCGCTGAGTCATTTCGTTTGTTTTTGCAGTCGAGATTATAAAATTACCATTCGATGTTGCTATTGTTGATGATGATGATGATGATAATGATGTTGTTGACGGTGATGAGTCCGACTGTTTTTGTACGATGAATCTCACTTTCTTGTTCGACGATGTATCATGTTCTGCTGTTGGAATAACATAGGTTGTTTCTAACGAAACAGGATTGTCCAATGGTGATAAAGGATTCTGATGTTGGTGATCGCCAATGACCTTTCCACGTGACAAGTCAATTAAACCTATGAGGAAAAAGAAAACGCAAGAAAGACAACAGCTTGTAGAAACGTCATCATGAATCTATATGTATATATTCAATGTATTTGTATGGAGCAAAAGAAGAAGGATATATATATATATATATTCATTCCTCATTATAAACTTGGAGATTCCGTTGAAAAAAAGAACGATAAGAATAAAAACAACAAAGAACAGATGATATTAAAAAAAACCGAAGGATATACAAACAAACTACTCTCAAGCCAAGGAAGAAGATGATGGATATATCTCTATATGCAAAATCAAAAGAATGAATATGAATAAACTTCTATCGATTGTATATTTTTCTACTGCAGGGCTCTTTCTCTCGTTTCACATATACAACATATACATCTATATATCTATGTAGATAGATGTAGATACACAAATGTATATGTGTATTCACCCACACCCTTAAACTCACTCATACATATGCATTCACTGTCTTCCTTTCTTTCTCTCTTCTCAATGCAAAATGACTATACTACTAGCCGGCTCAGCGCCACGCATCCGTATGCATGCATACACAATAAGCGAAGAGAAAAGAGATTAGATCTTCGTTAATATCGTGATTGCACATCTATCTCATTATAGACCTTGGCTCGTAGATGTACATATGTATGTCGATGTGTGTGACGACGCTCATTGTACACAATAGATGAGAGGTTGAAGTTTGACGATACAGCACCAGCCAGGGCACTTTTTTCTCTTTTATACACTATGAACGGCAAGCAACCGTGACCAAAAATGAAAAGAAAAGAAAAGGACAACAATTAGTGTATAGGGAGAAGAAAGAGAAAAAAAAAGAAGCGAACAGAAAGAATACAATGTCGTCTAGTCCACCTATTATTACTTGCATTCAACCTTTGTCGCACTTTTTTCCTTTGCTGTATTCTTTCATTACAGTGAGTCAAAGAAAGGGGGGGGGGGGGGGGGGAAAAGATTAAAATTCTGCTTTTTTTTTTATTTTTAAAAATAAAAAAAAAAT